GCTATGTAGTGTTCAGTTTTGTTTCATTCAATAATTGATTTACATTGATTATTTTATGGTTCTTTGTTGATTTAAAAAAAGAAATGAATAAAAATGATTTTTTAAAATAAAAACAGAGTCAAAACAGGAGTTTTTCTGCACATTTTTACATTACAGCAGTGTCAACGTGCAAACTGTAGATTTTCGCTCTCAGTTTAAGAAATAAATGTTTTTATTTGATGTGAATATTGATCATAAACTATGCTGGATGTTTATTTTATTACATAATCTTAGTTATTTTAGTGTAAACAAACTAAATGTTTATTTTTCCTTCTGCAGACTTGATAAACTCACCTGGATCCTGTCCTCCGCTTTTATTTTGAAAATTCTCTCTTTTTGGAGAACTCTGGCCACTTCTGCTCGACTCTCCTCTGTTGCCTCGTGACTTGGCTGCAGACAAAAAAATTAAAAACAAAAATCATCTGAGAATCAAAATCATCCCGGGAGAGGAAACAACTCTTAAAGCTAAAGAGGAATCATTTAAACGGACCGAACAGCGGCACCTGATGCACCGTCATCGTGCCATCTTCGAACATCTCCTCGGTGTACGGTTGGACCGCTGAGAGCACAAAGTTTTTATTTTAGATTAAACAAATCAGTTTAACATAAATATGATGGCTGAGTCCAACAAGTGCAACATACACAGCTTCATCGTCTCCGTGCATTCAATGAAGGAGTTGATGGCGTGCAGGTAGTTCTTCTTTAACGTGACAAAAACAGACAAGAAGTGAGTTTGTTAAAACGATCCATCAGGCAGCTGCTTCATTCTGATTTCTCAGACTCTCACCAGCTGTGGAGGTCCAAAGAGAAAACATTCAGGAACACCCAAGTCTCTCAGGGTTAACAACATCCCTGCAACACAGAGAAGATCGTTAAGATCATTGTCATTGATGCATTTGTTGAATTTACCCGGCGCTAACCTGGCAGACCGCCCACGTTCTCCGAGCTCAGTCGGGTCAGGAAGATG